CGCGATTTGTTTGGCATCTCAACCGATTTGAATCGTCACGTATTTGAATCAATTTGCAACCTGCTCACGGTTCATCGTCACATCCCTAGTTATTAATTTAATGTGAATAGGTACTCTAAAAAGTACAGAGTTGGGTACCGAACCCTAGTGGTGACTGTGTACCTGTTGATCTGTGTGGTGAAGACTCCCACCACAGCGGGCCGCTGGTTGATCTGCAGCACGTTGGTGAGCGACTGCAGCACATCGAAGTAGAAGAACGTGTCTCCAGGAACCGAGCAGTTCAGGCGCGCCTTCAGAAATGACGTCCAGTGGCGATCCAACACCCGCGTGGAGCCGCCGCTGTCGTTCTTACACACGCGCGCCACGCGCGAATACACCACCTACACCACGAGGAGCAAGCAGGAATCACTAACTGATTTTATAACAGAACTGAATGTCTAAATCTTCTCACACACTCATCTTTTACCTTCCCAGCGCCGGTGTGCTCCACTGCGATCTCACTGAAGAAGAAATACACGTAGTTGCCGTATTCGACAGCATGCAGGAAGTGAGGCTCTGTAGAGACAACACAACACGGACAAGATAGCGTGTTGTTTTTCTTTTTTTTTTTTTAGAATGATGAAATATACAAAAATACTTTTGTTTGTAATTTAATGCAATTCCAGCTACCACTGTCATGTTGATGGCAAGAAAGCGGTTAAAAATGAGATAAATAGAATAAATAAATCTATTATAAAAGGCTGCTATCATGTTGAAAATCAACTGACTGTCATATAGTAAAAATCATTATTATGTGACCCTGGAGCACAAAAGCAGTCATAAGTAGCACGGGTATATTTGTAGCAATAGCCAACAATACATTGTAATCCTCTGCGTCTTCAGATGTCGGGAGTAAATGACGACTGCTATGTTCATTATTAGCAACAAAACACCTCAATCGCTTAAATCAGAGACATTCTTGTCTTCCCCTGCACTAGAGTCGACACAATGGTGGACTGATGACAGTCACTCAGGGCGGAGCTAAGGTAAGACGGACTTGCCAATCAACAATCGTGGGAGGGGCCTGTGCAGAACTACGTCACTCTGACAGGAATCTCAGAACAGCCTGATTTGAGAAAGAGGATTTTTTAAAAACCACTGGGTGGATTTTTATCATTATAGGGTGGGTGTGTGCACACACTTCCAACACACATTTATGTTCAAACAACAACAAAAGTGAATTTTGCATCCGATGACCCCTTTAGATTTTTTTGCACCCTCAGATTACAGTTTTTCAAATATTGTCCTCTCCTAACAAACCATACAGCAATGAAAAGCTTATTTATTCAACTTTCAGATGATGCATAAATCTCAATTTCAAAAATTTTTTACCCTTATGACTGTTTTTGTGGACCAGGGTCACCTATTAGGTTACATTACATAGGTTATTATTGTTAACTAAAATTTAAACCATTAAAAAAAACATTTTCGTTACTTGAGATAAAATAAACATTACATATAAAAATATATATTAAACAATTTTTGTTTTACATTTTAGCTAGTTGTCAAGGCAACATTTTCATTTATATTAGCAGCAACACACATGATCTGAGGAATCATTGATATATACGAGGCACCTCTGAGCCATTTGGAGTCGTATTTGACGGTCCGCAGGACGGGTCGCCCCTCTCCACCCAAACTCCTGTAGATCACAGCGTCACTCGCCTGGAAGTCCGTCACTGTGGCCGAATAGAAATGACCACCTGACATACAGAGACAAAAATAAAACATCACTGAAAGAGTCAATCAAACTGTGGTGTCTGGCTGAAATTTAAGACTGCCAATCAAGAGCAATTTAATCATTTACATTACATTACTTTTATCCAAAGCGACTTACAAATGAGGACAATGGAAGCAATCAAAACTAACAACGGAGTGATGCATGTAAACATGTAAATATTAATCATTAAGTGTCATGTTAATATCACCGATTCATAATTCCATAATTTCCAACTATTCTCATTTCGATTTCAAAACTCTTGGTCAACAATCCACAATAATTGCTCAAAAAAGTTCACAGAAGTCTCATTATTAAAAAAAAAAAAAATGAATGAATAAATATTACATTTTAGTGAAAACTTAGTAGAAATATCTTCATACCACAATTACATATAACACCACATTTTTCACACAAAGATATATACATACATATAATCAATCATCAAGAGGTCTGTGATCAGACAAAAAGACGGAATACAAAAACAATCATATTAATAATAATAAAAGTACGGTTTTATTTGATCATTTAAATTATAAAATCAAATCAATAAATAAAAAAATATATTACTATTTACTGTAAAATAAAATGTTTTATTTTCTTATTATTAATAATAATAGTAGCACTAATAATATTTATCATTATTACTAATATTCAATATGACTATACAAAAATAATAGTTTATTATTTAAATTGTAAAAATTAAATAAAATATACATTTACTGTAAAATAAAATCTTTATTAAATACATTTAATTTGATTATTTCAAATGCATTTTTAGATTCATATTATTCTTTTCTTATATGTCTATATTAGCTTTGATTTTATTTAAATTTGAGGTATTTTAGCACAAAGTTGAACGGAAGAGAAATGCTACTTTGGCAACTGGATGGATGGATGGATGGCAGGATGGATGGATGGATGTATGGATGGATAGATGGATGGATGGATGGCAGGATGGATGGATGGATGTATGGATGGATAGATGGATGGATGGATGGCAGGATGGATGGATGGATGTATGGATGGATAGATGGATGGATGGATGGCAGGATGGATGGATGGATGTATGGATGGATAGATGGATGGATGGATGGCAGGATGGATGGATGGATGTATGGATGGATAGATGGATGGATGGATGGCAGGATGGATGGATGGATGTATGGATGGATAGATGGATGGATGGATGGCAGGATGGATGGATGGATGTATGGATGGATAGATGGATGGATGGATGGCAGGATGGATGGATGGATGTATGGATGGATAGATGGATGGATGGATGGCAGGATGGATGGATGGATGTATGGATGGATAGATGGATGGATGGATGGCAGGATGGATGGATGGATGTATGGATGGATAGATGGATGGATGGATGGAGGGCTGGATGGATGGATGGATGGATGGATGGATGGATGGATGGATCTAGTTAACTACAGTACTCATGGTGTGTTTCAGCATCTCACCTGCAAACACTCCTACGTTGGACTGGCGAGACTCGAATGGACATCGGGCCTGACCCAGCAGCTCCTGACCGACCTGCTCCAGCGAACTCAACTGAGCACAAACAACACAAACAGCAGCAGCGTGAGAAACTCCTGCGTGAATGTGAGGAGTCAAATCTGTGTCACTCACTCTGTAGTTTCTGCAGGCCGGGTTCAGCGCATTCGTTCCACACGCAAACAGAGTCTCGTCGTTACGAGGCACAAGAACCTTGATGTAATTATAGCATTCATCCTGAAAAACAAGATGTTTTCATGTCAAACTGGAGCATTAAAGAGACCCAACTGCTTACACACAAAATCTTTACTTGTCAAGGCAAGGCCATTTCTAAAACCAGCAGAAGCACACACCAAATCTGCAAAACCATACGCTAGCTCTCGGCCTTTGACTCGGTTTTCAATTTCATAAAACACTTTTTGCAAAACACAACACACAATTCCCTGCGTAACACACAAAAATCTAACAAGTAGTATCTTTTTCAAACACAAGCAATCAAAAAGCCACACTAAATACGATCCAAAAATATGATATTATGGCAAAGGTGAGACATACGTGTGCTTTTGATATGTGTTTGTGATATTTTGAATGCAGTGCTTCATTTTTGCAAGAGATGCGAGGCATCACGTGATTTCGTGTGTGCAGTTCTTGGATTTAGATTTTTTGACACTTTTTTGAAACCAGTCATAAATGGTCAGAGGAAATCATAAGAGAAGGAAGTGAATATGAGGTGTAAGCATCTGCTGAATGTCTCTGCAGGTTCATGGCAGTGACAGTTTTCCATCAGTAGGACTGAAGAGACATCTTTCGTCCAGCTGTGTGTCGTATCAGACGCTCTTCATCAGAGATACTTACGCTGTTTCTTCCTCTCACGGCGCACTTTGACACGTCTGTAGACCTCCACGTCAGTATCTGAAAACACAGATCACCATGAGCCCTCGTGTGTGACGGATCAAACCAGTTTCATCTTTTCCCCCAAATTCTGTTTATTTTTTAATTTGTCTAGATTCTGTTTTAATGGTTAAATTAAATGCAATGGTTCAATCATAAATGATAAAGCGGAGAGTTCCGGTGCTTGACTCTGATTGGCTGAGCCGTGTTCGAAGCTGTTGTAAATGACTCTACAAAGTAACACACACCTTTTTTTATGTCTGTGTGTTGCTCGGCAACCACTTTGTAGCAACCACAACTGTTTCTGAGGCGCTACATTGTTTGGTGGAAGAATACTGTGTTTATTAATATCATTACACTTTATTTGCTCTGTTTTATTTTGTGAAACCTTACTACGTATATGCAATAACTGTTTTATAAAAGCAATAAGCCTCGTGAAGCTGTGGTTTACCACGGCTTCACGGGGCTTATTGCTTTAATCAACAACAACAAAAAATGTAATTAACTGAAATCATGAAACGTATAAAAAATAAAAATGTAACAAAGATTAAATTTTTAGGCCTCTATGAAATCCATTTACACCTTTGTTTACATCTGTGTGTTGCTCGGCAACCACTTTGTAGCAACCACAACTGTTTCTGAGGCGCTACATTGTTTGGTGGAAGAATACTGTGTTTATTAATATCATTACACTTTATTTGCTCCGTTTTATTTTGAGAAACCTTACTACGTATATGCAATAACCGTTTTATAAAAGCAATAAGCTCCGCTTCGCATCGTACCTAACAACGCCCCTTAGCTGTTATAAAGTCACTGTAAACCACGGCTTCACGGGGCGTATTGCTTTAATCAACAACAACAAAAAATGTAATTAACTGAAATCATGAAACGTATAAAAAATAAAAATGTAACAAAGATTAAATTTTTAGGCCTCTATGAAATCCATTGTATTCTTTCTTTGATTTTTTTGTGTTTTCATTTTTCTGGACTACGTTTTAATCGTTGATTTAAATTCGAGTCATCAAATATCATGTGTGATTAATTGAAATCATGAAAATTACACAATTTAACAACAATTTTAGGGCCCTATGAAATCCATTTTTCCCAATTTCCTTTAAATTCTTTGTTTTTTTTGTTTTATTTTTTCAGAATTCTGAATAATTAATGGTCTAATTAAATTATAATATTCAAAAAGCATGCCCAATCAACCAAATTCAAATAATTGTAACTAATTTTTTTACCCCCCCCCTGTTGTCTGTTTTAATTTTAATACAAATTTATTACCAAAAACAGTAGTAATCAATATAGTAGTAGCATCAAATTAAGGCATAAAATATAATATAAAATCTAATTTAATACAGATTTATTTAATTTAAAAACACTTCTTCAATAACAGGTTTATTATTAAAATGAAAACATGGAAGTTGAGATATTTCCTTTAAAAACACAAATGTTTAATAGCTGTATTATTGTTATTGTTATATGTTTTCTGCATGGGTTACACCTGTGTGTTTTACCTGCTGTGGGATGATTTTATCGACTGCAGACGTGAGATTCACAACAAATACATGGTCTCTAAACAGAAGAAAAACACAAGAAAAAGTCACAATGTCTTCATGATTTCATGACTTCTCCAGCTGTTTCCAGTTCTTTTATACGTGTGGCAAAATACATCAACGTCTAACAGAATGACATTTCTTTAAAACCCATCCAATCCAGGCATGTGGTTTGGTGAACAGACTGATCTTCAGTGACCTGGCAGCGATGTACAGCATATGCTGGATCCGGATCATGCGCTGATAGTCCAGACCCAGACGCTCCGTGCCATTGTTAAACATCAGACCCTGAAAACTGGGATACCGGTGCGAGTCTGTGGAGCACAAGAAACAGAGCAGATAAAACCAGCGTTTACAAACAGCAAGCAGATTTAAGTGATGCTCTGAACAGAACGCTAGTTGTTTATAGGTCAAGACTGGAATCAACTGAAACTAAAACTAAAACCATTAAATATAAAAACACTAGAGATGCACCGACCGACCGGCCAGGGACCAGAATTAGCCGATTTTCCAGTCTGCTGATTCTTATGTTGTGCCAGAAGAGGCTTGTGCAGAACATTATTGATGCATACTGTGGTAGTAAAAAAATAAATGTATAATATATGATTTAGGTACGCAACATTGCACGAACAAAACATTTCAACAAGATTGCAATGTGATTTTATACAACAGTAGTTCAATAAACAAAAAGTTACAATTAAGTGACTCACATTTTAGACACAATATTGACTGTTTTTGCTCAGTTTCGCTGATGAAAATAGTTCCAATCAAAGCTACAGCTGAACTGTTTTGTGTCTGCGAGCAACACAGCGGTGTGTCTTTACTGAATGAATCAAGTGAGTCAATGATTCAGTAACCCATTCATAAAGACATGAGTGAATGAATCAGCCATTTGAACAAATCTGTTGAATGAATGACTAAACTCATTCAAACAGTCATTTGCCGCCACCTACTGGTTTGCTTTTGTATCTGGTACTGTATCTTATATTTAAAATTTTCATTGCATTTTCCCCAACATTTCTTATGTTGTATCTTAAACATTAATCTTATAAAAGTCTTTGTGCATTCGAAATCTTGCAGTGTAAATGCATTTCTGGCAGCTCAGCTTCATCAAACAGTCTGTAAATGCATCTAATGGCACTTCAGATGCAGCTTCTGTGTTTCGTCTGCAATGAAAAGATGGAGTTTGTTTCATGCTGATTTCATTTGAATGGTGAAAGATGACACATTTAATAAAGTAAGTGAAAAAAATGACAATTTAAGAAATATAGTCGGAAATGACTGTTTTGTTATATACAGTTAATTATTTCTACCTCTTTGCTAGTCACAGAGCACTTTATCTTGAAAGTTGTTTAAGTGAGAGAACATCTGTAACTTTGTCCAGTTTGGGGGAATTGTAATGTTTAATAATTTTTTATTATTGCATTAAAGTACAGATTTTTGTTTGTATATGCTGTCAATTATAGTTTTTAGAAAGAGAATCGGAATCAGCAAAAATCGGTATAAGCAGGTCACACTTGCAAAAAAAAAAATCAGAAATCAGAATCGGCCATGAAAATTGCAATCGGTGCATCTCTAAAAAACACTTAAAGGCACAATATGCTAGTTTTCGCCACTAGAGGTCGCATTTTCAAAACAAAGGCGAAGCTTGATGACCAGGGTTTGAAATTAACTTTTTCACTCACCAGCCTGTCCACACTGGATGCGACAAAGTGACCATTGCAAATCATTTGTACTTTGTCAAACAGTAGGCCTACGTCATAAATAGAACGAGGCATCAGTTTACTGCCGGGGATTTGTCGTGCTGTGCTGCGCCACATCCAGGACTTTTCGTTATTGCTTCAATGCAAAGAAAACCTGTGCGCCCGCCACGCCATTATTTGTTGCGTAGTGACGGGTACAGGGCTGAAATGGGGTTCAAATTTCTTCTGTAAAACACAAAATATATTTTATAGAATGTTACCAAACCATTTAGGTTACCCTTGATTTCTACTGTACTTGAATGTCTCAAAATATCTTCTTTTATGTTCCACAGAAGAAAGAAATTCATACAGGTTTGGAATGACATGATGCTGAGTAGCCTAAATGAAGACAGTTTTAATTTTTGGGTGAACTATCCCTTTAAGAACTTTATAATATTTGTAAATGTTAAACACCTCATTTATAAGTGTCTCTAAATTACAGAGACACTGGTTTTTATCTTTAATCAGGCTCTTACTGGATTAACATTTTACTTAAATTCAAATGAATTAGAATGAAACATTTAAAGAGAAATAAGCTATTAAAGTTTGTTTACATGCATTTGACCTCGTCGTGGCTGTTTTCAGGCAGAACCTTTAGTGTTGTCATATCACACAACTGTATAACACAATTCTGTGTCATTTCTGAATGGATCGAGCGATTGGCGCTGTTTATCTCTTATAAATCGTGGCGGAAGCGCAGCGCTGTGCGGGAGACTGATCCCGCTCTGCTTTAACGCGCGGCTGGCGGATGCACCGGGTAGCACTGCTTCACACTTTTGGAGTACTTGCTTTTTGCAGTTTCGTGGGGGCTGTAATTTAAAAACAGCGCCTAATATGAGGTCTCCCTGGCTTCGGCGATCGGCCCACCGGGAATGTCCCGGTGCTTCTGATGGCTAGTAGCTACATCGCTGGGTATGTTCAAGTAAGCTAGATATGCCCAGATGCTGCACAATTAGGCTTATTTAATATCATGATGAGTCTCGAGTTCAGTATTTACACTAAATCGGTGCAGATTTGGCTTACATGAACTTCCTCATGAAATTAATTAGTAAACATAATTTACGAAAAGTAACCCGCCAAATTGGCTAGTGATTTGACAGCGTTACCCGCCACAGCTGATTTTTACCCTGTTTTGTACCTGTTGTCAAAAAGTCCCAAATACAATTGAAAGCCAAACGCCGACGTGTCTGGGTTCACAGCACCATCCAGAGGAGGACGAATAACGTTAGGATCCTGTATTAATGTGTGTGTTACATTTTATTACTGTGTATACACTGATATTACTATTCTTTTTATTATTGATAGCAGCATCTCTGTAGCCATGCTAATACAATACAACTACCACTACAACTGATTTTAATTGTTTTCTATGCTCCAGACCTATATAATAACAGACGGCTGCAATAATGCTCTCTTCTATTGTCTGATTCAACCAGACGTGTCAAGAAACTCTTTGCTGACTGGCTTGCGCGAGAACGCAATTTTCCGCTCGAGTTGAAACTTTTGAACTTGCGCGAAAGACGCGATTGAGGCGAATATCGTGCGTTCGCGGCAAACGTGTCGTGCATTTCGCATCATTCGCATCGCCCGGCACGAATTCGCCTCTATTCGTGTCTTTGCGTTGACTTTGTATGTAATCTACTCGCACGAATAATTACATTCGCGGCTGGTGTGAACACACTGTTATAATCAGTAAAGCTGTCTATACACGGCTTTATGAATGAATGTCTTACAACATACGTACATCTGCACTTTGTTGTTTATGATGAGAGAATTCGCGAGTGCGTGCAGTGAACAAAAACTCATCTGAACACCTCTGATTGGTCATTGCATTCGTAAGCTCAACTCATGTGTGATTGGTTATAATGCGCAACACTGTAAAAATGTGTTTAAAAAAATCATGGCGCAACATTGAGCAGATCTAAATTTAATGCTGCGGTCAACGCTTTTCATTTCATTTTCATTTTCTTCGCGACAGCCGTAATGGATTTAGTTTAACTGTACAGCAGCATTTGTGTCTTGTGCTGCCATAGCTTCTACAAGCGGAAACTGAGGATATGCGGATGTTACGTCATTGATAAGCGACTATGAACAGGGACGAGCTATTATTAAAAATTTGAGTATCTCTGGATTTACAATTCCTTGGGAACTTTTGGGATAACATAAATACACAACTGCATGAAATGTATCACATTGTGCGAGTAGTTTTTGGGTATTTTATTATGAAAATCTTACATATTGTGCCTTTAAACTTATTTTATCTCCGCTAGTTGCCAAGGTGGTGTTATTCATGTATCATTGAGATATTATTGTAGTTTTATGTATAATATATATATATATATATATATTTTTTTTTATTAAAATAAGTTTAGTTGTTTTTTTGAGTTAACAATTAAGTAACAAAAAATGTGTTTTATGGTTTTAGTTTTTGTTAACTATAATAACCATGCACCAAAGGCAACATTTCTCATTTTTTCATTTAGTTTAACAACGCACTTAAATAACTCAAATTTAAACTGAAACAAAAACGAATAAAAACTATATAAACAAAAAAAACTTGAAAGAAAAAGAAAGCAAACTTTGAAATAAAATGAAAAATTAATATATTAATAACTTAATTACATCAAAATATATTTAAAAAACTATAATTTTAAAACACCAGGCATCACTTGACAACACTTTCAAACAACTAAAGTAAAGCTATAGCTTTTGCAGTACTTTGATGTCATGCACCGACCGCTTGAAGTCCAACACACCCACTCACTGAGATCCCGTCAGTCATGTGACTCACCTTCCAGACGCAGCACACCGATTGGCTGCAGATCGCTGGGGAAGGGCGTGGCAGTAGCGATGACTGGGAGGAGCCAGGCTAAAGAGACCATCGCCATGACGACAGAGTAACGCCATGTCCTGTCAGTCATCTGCACAGCAAATAAAAGATACAGACAGATGACATCACAGAGATGATATTTACCAGTTATTGTGAGTTTGAGTTTGTAGTCTGGCTGATGGGATTTTAAGATGTTTCTCATTGGATGCTGATTAAAATCTAGTATTTATTTTTATGATTGGTTTAAATATATTTGCTCATTATTAGCAAATGGTTTAAAAAATGCCTATATTTGAACAATTCAAAACTGACATTAGAATGTCTTTGGAAACAATTTATTAAGAACTATGCAACTGTTTTAAATGTACAATTTTCTTTCCATATATACCAATATTGGGCAATATTATGGACGGAGGACTCATATTTTAGCTGGAAGCAACATCTTAATGATGGATTTGTTTCTTACAAACTAGGGATGGGTCACGATTTTCGTATATTCGATTAGTTGATTTAATTATAGAATATCGACTAGGTTGTGCGATTATTGTCTTAAAAACTGTCCCCATGTTTTCCGTGCTGATGCGGTGGTGACGCACGCGTTCATGTAAAAGCTGTCAAAGACAACAGAAGAACATATGGTCTCACGCGCACACTGTAGACTTGCGTGGCATAAAAACATACTTGCTAGTGCTGGGCGGCTTGATATTTAGGATTGAAATCGGGATGATGACGGCTATATGATTACGTCAGTACTTCCACAATAGCCAATGCGCGAGCGCAAAACAGCTGCTGTATTGGTACAGGCTCCATTGGATAGTGGAGACGGAGGAAACTGCTTCTTGACGTTTTGCAGTAACACGACTGTCTGTATAATGTGTCGAAAACGTATCACAACCGTAAGGAGAAAGAGAAGCGCTGGAGGGAAATCGCCTCAGTTTTGAACGTGTACGGGGATGCAGGGGGAGTCACGAGCAGGGGGTCTGGGGGCTTTACTCAAGTTAAAACACTTTCATCATCCTCATGAATGTATGTTGGTTTACCTAATGGCTGCGACGCACACCAGTATTTGTTCTGTGCTGATCACAATCGAATCCTTTCATTATAACATACAGAGTGGTTACTTTGTTTTTCGGCCACACACATGTTGCAAAGTTTCGGGAATGACATCCACATATTTATGCTGGATTCGCTCTCGAAGTAGCAGTGATTGACACAGTGATAACCGTAGCAACAGATGGGACGTAGTGTGAGCCCAGCTTAAGCGACATACACCGGTATTGCGGTATTTAAAAAATTCATATCATAACAAAAATAAACAACGGTACTCTGTATGAACCGGTATACCGCCCAGCACTAAGACTTATTACGTAGTATATAACGGCTACAGTAACTTGGGACGATGCCAAATAAGAGTTTTGTGCGGACCACAAGCCCCCCTGACTGGGTTAGAAGTGTAGCTGAATCCGTATTCAGAAAGGCGCGGAAAACAAACGGAGCCACTAAAGGGACACGGTTAGCCGCTTGCTAGCGGTAGCCTGTTATATTACAGTACATAGCATTTCACTTACCACATAAACACAGAGTAAGGAGAGATGACTGATAGGATGATGGCGAATGATCCTGAGCACCACTGACAAACACCTGATCTTGTCAAATGTGTGGTAAGTACTGCCGAGTGCTGCTCCGTACGTGTGATTGCGAATCTCGAATATCATTCGAATAATACCCAGTGATTTTCGAATATATTATTTTTGCTTGGAATGCCCATCCCTATTACAAACACTACATTTCTCCAAACCTGAGGATGAAACAAAGTCTGAACTTTTCCTTTAAATCTCCCTGTTGAAGACGCCTGGTCTAAAGGTTAATCTAGATTATCTGACGTGCCCTAAATGAACTTTGTAAACGTGTATCACATTACAAGAACACAACAGATTTAAACAGTCAAAAACTTGCATCAAAAACACACAGTACATTACAATGATTTGATAACATATTTGAGCTTGACTTCTCTTGGTCTGGTCCGGTTAAACCCAGCAGCAAGCTTCAGTTTGGACTGTGATTCTGGGATCAACTTTTTATTTTGGTGTGTAGAGTTGAGATTAAGGTCAGAAATCAAAGCACATGATTATAACATCTGAATAGACAGAGCAAATAATAAATGATCCCATAACAATCTGACATTTAAAAACTGATCCAACCTGAAGCTAATCTGACAAGAAGCTTTGTGTGTGTGTCGGCGGGAGACACTTAAGCTAATTAATGGCTAATCAGAGCTAATCTTCCATTAGGCAGATGAAGCAGGACACATGAGTTGGGGGTATAATCTGGATTTTTTTATGCACGGGCTTATTGAATTAAAACGTTTATATAAGCTAAAGCACTTGACTTCCTGAATTCCCCCTTCGTTAAATTGCATTACAGGCCTGTAATTAACTGTAATGTTCAGGCCATTAACGAAGCGCAGAGAGCCAATTATGCAGATTACAAAATATCAAAGCAAGCATTATTTATTGCAAAAAAAAAAAGATACACGCAAAGCATCTGACAGCTAGCGTGAAATTATAGAGGAACCACCTCAATATTTACGATCTATACAACGCAAAAAAATGTAAATTGTAAATTACACAAATTATTAGAGTATGCTTTACAAGAAAATACTATTTCATGTTAATTCAGTGTGTTACTTGCCATTTCTAATTTTTTTGGTGAAATTTGCAAGCAATTTCTGAGTGAAAACCGTCTCAACAGAACTGTAATTCATAGCTGTTTAAATGTGGAAAGTGTTTCCAGCCACTAAACACAGTCACACCCAGATCAAAACAACCCAAAACACCACATTTAAGAGCGCCAAGACAAAGCCAAAGCGGCAGGACTGATGAACTCACAGAGATAAGAAAACCTTTTTACAAAAGACATGACTGCAATAACAACGGATAAAGAGCTAGCATTTAGTGCCTATTTTACACATTTTTCCCCGTTTTATTATGTTCCTGCAGCTGTGATTTCATCAGGTTCAGCAGTGCACATCTTGACACTCAATTCTTGCCCATTCTTCTTGGCAGAATTTCTATCAAGTTGGATGGGAACATTTGCCAAACGAGCGCTTCTGAGCTCCTCGATACAGATGCTCTGGATGGCAAATTTTTCTTTGTATAGAGATGATATGGTAAGGAAATAATGCGAAATGTTATGAATAACGAAAACAGCGGCGAGTTCAAACAGACAATAGAAATGAATGAACATACCTAAAACAGTTTTCGTAACATTTGAATTTTCCGGTGTACGCAATCTCATGCAGAACAACTCGTGTGAGCCCGCGCTTCAAAACAATGAAACAACACATGCTTTAAATCTGCAGCCAAGTGACTTTGTGCGACCCACAGTTTGAAAACCGCTGGCTGAACAGACCGTAAAACTGCTAGCATCACCATAAAGGAGCATTACAGGGAAGCCCAGAAGTGCACTCTCGCCTACTGTCAAATAACGCTCAGTGACACTAAAACAACATTAAACTGCTGTTTCAGAATCATTTAAGTGAGAATCATCAATTTTGTTCCCACCATTCATGAAATAATTCTGACATTTCTTTTGGCTTAAATTTGAATCAAATAATAAACACACAGAGTGAATCCAGTGCATGACACACCACTACACATGACACACACGGATGAACGGCTGTTGTCATGCTGTAGTTTAACACACTATCAGTGTTTAGAGAAACGCTAGAACACCGATCCAGACAGACCCACATGCTCTCGCCTGTGCTATGATAGATTTTACTCTGGGACTCTGAGATATAGTAAACACTTTGGGAATGTTCTTCTGTCCTGCTATTTTCCAGGAACACTTCAGTCAGAGCCGTTCTCTGGTCTCTAGTGTTTCCTGTAGGGATGTAACGATGAACCGCGAGCCGGTTGAAAATCGATTTAAATGTGAGACAATTCAAATCGGTTGAGATGCCAAACAAATCGCGATTCATTTTATGTGAATGCATGTCTGAGGGGAACTTACTGTCTTTCGATGGTATTTTTTCTTTTCCTCTTGCCTCTGTATAATGCATATCAGGGCTCCAGACTCATTCTTCTTACTGGTCGCTCTTTAGCAACTAACTTTCTCAGCTGGACGCACGAGCACATGATTTGGTCGCAATATTTAATTTTTTTTTGTGCTACAACATGGGATTATTCAATGCATGCTGATGAACTTTTAGCATAGTTTATAGTTATATGGATACGAAAGTTGTTAACATTCAACCCGTTCTTTATCATCAGTAGTATTATTTGTGATTTGAATTTTGTGAACGGGAGTTTCTCTTTTGCTGTGTTAAGCCACGGGCTTCGAGATTCGAATTCGAGATCTTGTTGTCACTGTTTTGCTTACATACATCTACACACCTTTCATTTTTTAAGACTAAAACAAAAGATGGATTCATTGTTATTCTTAATTAAAAAGCACAACAACAATAAATCAGTAAGATATAATGACAAACTAGCTTACAAAGCGTTTATTAACAAAAACGAATAAGATGAGGCATGGCACACAGCACATGCTGTATTATATACCGACTAATACATTACAGAACGTTTAGCAAACACTGAGGAATCAAATAAATAAATAAATAAAAGAGAGCCTCCATAGCTTAAGGCAAACAGCAAAGATAAGGTTTTCAAAAATGAAAACAAAAAGAAAAGTCAAACTAACGGTGGCAGTGCTTGCATGTTTTTTCCCCCCACAAGAATACCAGCATGTTCACCTTCTCTGGTTTAAGAAGTGGTCTTTACTTCCATCCATCGTTTCCTCAATATGCGCGTCATTTTTGCTGTAGCTGAGTAGGTATACTCTCTAAGCGCTGTTTCGTTTGCCCTTTGATGTTTCTCATATGCAACAGAAATTGAAGCGCTTATGAGTTGACCAACGCAATGGTGCACCAGTGCGACCGCACACAAAATTTAGTCGCACAGGCAGAAAAAATAGTCGCAGTCTGGAGCCCTGCATATTAAAGTTCATAAGTGCAGCGCTGCTTTGTTTACAGCGGAAACCAAGAAAACGCTTTAAGCGCCACCTGCTGGCAGAGCGAGCATCTGCGTC